AACTGAGATTGTAATCTCCTTTAAGAAAAGAACTTTGTGGGCTGGCTTCATGGCCTGGTGGTAAGGCAGCCAGATCCTTCATGGCTGACTATGTGATTTGAGTCCTGGACCCAATGGCTTGAGAAACACACCAGGTGTGTGTGCGTGCATGCCCAAAGTCCTGAAAGAAGGGAGATATGGAGAAGAAGGCATAGTGACCCAGAGGTTCTCCATGGTGGGTGCTTTTTCCTCTCTATCTCTCTCTCTCTCTCTCTCTCTCTCTGGTGAGTATACATGCCTTAGCACAAGAAATAAAAAAAGAACTTTATTTTTGTTCATATTTTATTTCTCATAGCTTCTAGAATAATGCCTAAACAGTAGAGGCACTCAAAATAGGTGTAAAATTACCAGAAATATTGTCATAAAATATGTTGTTCTGCTTGTTTAAACCTAAACTGAAGTGAACAACTTTTTGCTCTTCCTCTAACTTCACAAACAAGACTATTTTGGTCTTTGGAAGCCACAGTTACCTGTCTCTATTCCAAATCCTATTTCATTCACTACAGTAATATGTTTTCTTACCTTTTAGTGTCTCTTACTTTGGGCCTAATAAAATTATAATGGAATAGATAAATGATGCTGAGATCTACCCTATGTGAGGAATATCTGGAAGTATAAGAAATAAATTATTAAAAATAGAACCTCTGACACACTATAAGAATAGACAGCTTTTTTTTTTTAATTGTCTGAAAGGATTTAAGGGAGACTATCTCATATTATGGGCCTCCTTATATTGCATTTTTATGCCTAGCAGAGAAGAGAAAGGATGGATAAAGTTGGGGAAAATAATCAAGAGATAAATCAGTCTTTTGCTTAAATTACTTGAGATGCAGATCTACACGTCCATAGGAGGATGTGGAAGCGTAAGCACAGGGTTTTCCTCATCTGTTTTCTCATTCTTCTCCATTACTCAGCCCTGATTAACCTTGTGTCCTCTAACTCCACCTTAGAGGAGTTCACCAATGGTCGGGTGTGTCTGTTTCTGAGTTACTCAATGGGAAATGAGTCTCACGTCACATTTTACCGTTTAGAACAAACGCAAAAACATGATCACCTAATACCACCCCTTCCTTTATTGAAAAAACAAGGAAAAATAAATAAACCTAAACTTTCCAAGCACAAAGATAATATAATCTTTTAATTTCAAAGTAATCAAAACCAGAACTTGAATCTGAAAATAAAATAAAATGTAAATCAGTTTAGTTTGTAGATTTGTTAAATCTATTATATCCAAGTACTAGACAGAGTATTTAGGCTAGAAGGTGGAATGACTAATTTCTGTCTGCAGCAGGATGGCATATGAGGAGAAGCACATAGGGATACTCTGCATGTGGTATGAAAATAAAGGGGAAAGAGAATGGAGCAGTTGATTCTGCTTAGGAGAACACTATATTTCTGTGAAAAATTATTTTCTAATTCACATCCCCAAGTAATCAATCAAACTCTTTATGCTAGTCCCTTCTAGATGTATGAGTATAACAGACTCCCATACCAAATACTATTTTTGACAGTCTCCTTATTTCTCAGAAACTATCATTCAGGGTTGAACATGAGTGAGTTTTCATTCAAATATAGGCAGTTACCACTCTTCCCCATCTCCCTCTCATAATACTGCATCATATTCTTAGGAAGCTTCCCTAGTCCACTTAGGAGACCCTATTTTGTGCTTCACAGGACACATTACTTCCCTGAACATAGCACTCATTAGCTCATTTTGTAATTGCCCATACATTTTATTTGTGCCACACATGACAGTATAATCTTCTTCATAACCACAGCATCCAGAAGGCCTCACTTGGGATCCCCTGGCTAAGCGCCAGAAACATAGTTGTCACTTAATAAAGATTTATTGAACAAATAAGTACCTTAACACTTGTGGTTTATGGGCTCAAGATTCTCTTGCAGGACACTGGGCCAAACCTGGCTAAGGTAAGAGTCGATAGAGCTGGAAAGTGAGTATTGGTTCTTGGGTCAGGTGTGCTACCTGAGGAGGTCTAGAGGTAAAAAACAAGAATAGTGAATTGGAACAAAAGTCTTCAAAGAAATGGAGTTTCTGAGTCAAAGAAATAAAATCAAAAGGCAGAAGCAGGATCTTAAATATGAAGAAAAATCTAGGTTATGCCTCTTAAACTGGGGACCTTGTGTTTACAGGAGTGTTTGTCAGGGTACTTCAAAGAACAAGAAGTCACAATACCAACATGGATCACCTTTCTACAGTGTCAAAGCTATGCAATGGTGAGTAATTTAAAACATTCTCTTTCTAATAAACATAAATAAAGGAAAATGAGAACGTTCACATTTAATGTATGGAAAAATGAGCTAGTTTCAGCGGCATATGCTTGTAGTCTCAGCCACTCAAAAAACTGAGATAAGACTCAGTTCAAGACCAGCTGGGGCAATGTGTGGTGATTATGTCTCTAGAAAATGAGACATATTTCTGAATACCTGTATACTTTAAGTGAGGCACTTAATTTCACACAGACAAGCTCCTAGAGTTATGTACTATACCCAGTGATGTTGGGGGTACTATAGCAGTGTTTTGAGGAGGCATAGGTAGAGTAAGAAACTGAATAAAACTAAACTTCAAAGAAATACATTGGGTACGATTTAAGAGTATCTTGGCTATCTGACAGGAATGATAATGGATTATCCTTAGCTAAATTTTACTGATTTGTTTTAAGTGTTTTCTATAGCTAAAAGAAAATGTTAATCTGGTAACTAGATCTCAACTTTTTTTAAACTAATATCAACTTTTTTCTTATTACAACACAATGCATAAAACCAATGCCAAAAAAATTATCATTATTGAAACTGGATGATGGAGATACATGGGGAGGGTTCATTATATTATTCCCTTTGTTTTTTAATTTATAAGAAATTTAAAATTTTTCATACTAAAAGGTTACAGGGATAAAAACAGTATATGTATATTTATAGAAGACTATTATATAAAGGAAAGCAAAAGGAAGAAAATTTAAAATAAATGTAGGGTCAGCCTCCTAGTCTAGTGGTTAAGGAGCCAGATCTCCCATGGCATGATGAACAAATTCCAACAGAAAGGAGGAAAGGCTGAAAAGGGATTTCAGTGTGATCATGCCACATTTGAGGGTGCTTTCTCCCTTTTCCTCTCTCTGTCTCTCTCTGACAATCACACATGCCCTCTGAAATTATAAAAAAGAAAGAAATGTAATTCATTTCCCAGGTACTAGTATTAATTTTCTAGACTATTCATAGGCAGAAATGATAGAGAGACATTTTGAAAAATCTCTAGGAAATGGGACCAGTCAATGGCATGGTAGTTAAGGTGGCTGAATCCCACATGGCTGACCGCTCTGTTCAAGTCCCAGACCTGGTAGCCTGGAATACATACCCAGTATGGTGCATACATGCCCAAAATCCTGAGAGGATAATGGAAGAGAAGGGACTGCAGCATGGCCATTCCCCACCCAGGGAGTAATTTCTCACTCTCTTTCTCTCCCCCCACTTCTCTGCCTCTCTCAAATCTATGAGAAATGTAGTCCTGTTTCCTGTAGGCTACTATTGTACTAATTTTCTAGGGTACCTGTAGAGATTTTTTTTTAAGTCTGTTCACTCCTCACATGTGCTCCATCTAGGTAGGCTCCATAGAATGATAGCACTCTGATTTGGGAAATTGACCTTAGCTCAAAAGGTGAGCCTGATTGGGCAAAAGATGACTACATTTCCTTGTCAACTGTCAGTTTAAGAATTGGTATGTGATGCAGTTCTAGCAAATTTGAAATGAGAAGATAGTAGCTAGAGTTCTAAAAAAGTTCCTCTTTGGTTTTTATAGAAAGCGATAGTAGGTCATTCTCTCCTTCTCCAGCATGTGAATGAGAAAGCAAGTAGTTATATCCAATTACAACTGAAATCTTACTTACAATTATTTGTGGAACTAGCTATAGAATAAAACAGATATTTTGGGTGAGAGAGCAGAGAGACAGAAGGAATCTGGTTCTATGATAGCATTGCTGGTCTCCAAGTCAACTAATCATGAAGCTTGTTTTACCTACGTACTCTATTAATAGATTAACACATTTAACAATTAGAATCATAAAAATAAATATATTCTTTAATTCATTTTGAGTTGAATATTCTTTTTCTTGCTGCCCAAATTATAGCTTACCTTCTTAGTGTATTTAATGAACATGTTTCCGTGTCAATAAACTAGATTTCATGGTCTCATTTTAAATTCTTATGTAGTACTCCTTTATGTACATTCGGATTCCCAGCATCTCCAGTTTTCTTGTATTGTCAAATAGATCAGATTTTTAGTGGTGAAAGCATTAAGAACAGGGTCCTAATATCACACTCGTTCTGAAGGCACTGTAAATAAGATAGCAACTCTATGTCCAAAACCATTTTATCTAAGTGTGGGATCTGACACCCTTATGAACCCATGTAAGCTTTTCATAGTACAACATTGTCTTCTTTGCCATTCTTAATTAGGAAAAAGGTTACTAAACCTAACACTAGGACAATTTGCCACATCATGTAGTATGCTATGCAAAGTTCCTCCCTCCTCATGGAACTCCAGGCAAAGGTAGGGCTCTGTAGCCAGAAACTTTCATGACTGTTTTTTTGGCATACTCATGCATCACTCCAAAGAGTCAGAAAGTGATAACCCCCAGAAGAAACTCTGGCTATTGTAGGGAAGGAAGTTTTTGAGAAAGACCAATTTAGCGATTTTTAAACCTGATAGGTCATGTTAGCCAATTATCCTTTGACTACAATCTTGTCAAGAAATATATTGTATTACCAGATTATAATTGGTGGTGTTTAGGAAAATAGACAATAATTTATCTCTTAGACATAATATTCCTATCTTCCTATGGTTATCAAGGATCCTCAATACGGGTGGAGAAAGTGTGAAAAAAGTCAATAGTTCGTATGTGAACAGTCACTCCAGTAAACAACCATATAAAACACCACATCATAATAAAAAAAGAACATGATTATGCCATAAATTTTGCAGATATAAGTGTAATGATGAGATAATGCTGTTGAATTGGTAAGGGTCACAGTCCTAATCCAGATTACTTTATGAGAAAAAAATTAAAAGAAAAATTATTTTTGTCATAAAATTGAAGCATAAAATATAACTCATTATAATCTAATCTTTAATTACATAGTACATATTCAGAAACATACCTATAGTCCAAAACTGCCTCATCATTTATAGTCTACCATGTGCCACCAAAAACACCTATTTTCTCCCCAATAGGAAATTACATAAAAATCATTTCTGTTAGTCCTTCACAGGCAACGCCCAGAGGCTTATACTCTTGAAGTCCAAGTTTTCGGTGGAATGTACAATCTTTTTCAATGCAGTTGAGTCACACTCCTAACCAATGTGAAGTCCCCAAATACCAGTGTTGGGTTAGATGAAGAGTTTCATTACTCTATCAATCAGGGTGCAAAAAAAAATATATGGAGAATTTCAACCACAAAAAGACCCTCTTCCCAGACTTCACCCTCCTGCTCCGCAGTCTAGCCAGGAGTCAGCATAAGTCAATCAGCAGCCAGCAGCCATCTATATTTGAGTTCTGAGGGGCCCCATTCAGGGATTTCGACCACTGAAGATTCTCTGCCCAGACTTCACCCTCCTGCTCCCTAGTCTAGCCAGGAGTTAGATTTAACTCCAAATCTAGGGAAAAAATGTATAACCCATCAGATGACCAGAAACCACTGCAGAGGCACAAGAAATATGAGAAACCAAGGGAAAGGAATAACTTCTTTTCCTCCACAGAGAGCATAAGGGAACTTGTGGAAATGTCAGATAAAGAATTTAAAATATTCATAGTGACAAAGCTAACAGAGATACAAGAGAAGAGAGAAAACAAACTCCAGAAGATGCAGGAGAAAAGAGACACCAAGTTCCGGGAGGTGAGAAAGTTCTTGCATGATGTGAAAGTAGATACACATCATAAAAAATAATCAGACAGAATTGTTAGAGATGAAGGTTGTAATACAGGAAATCAAAACTTCCGCTGAAAATATTGAAAGCAAATTAAATCTTGCAGATGATCGAATCTCAGATGTAGAAGATAGAACCTCTGACCTAGAAAAATTCACCAGAATGACTGAGAAAATAACCGCCCCCAAAATGAGACTAACATACGAGTAAACCTAGATACCATTAAGTGCCCAAACATCTGGCTCCTCAGTATCCCAGAAGGTGAAGAGACTAATAAGGGTATTGATAATCTATTCCATGAAATCTTGGAAGAAAACTTTCCAAAACTAGAGAGGCACTCTAATATTCAGACTCAAGAAATACAAAGAACCCCACATAGAATGGACCCAAGAAGATCTTCCCTGAGGCACATCATAACCAGATTGACTAAAACCACAGACAGAGACAAGATACTAAAATTGGCAAGAGAGAAATGTCAAGTTACTTTTAAAGGGTATCCCATAAGGCTAACATCAGACCTCTCATCAGAAACAATGCAAACAAGAAAAGAGTGGGAAAATATATTCAAAGTGTTAAGTGAAAAACAATTTCAACCAAGAATACTATAGCCAGCAAGATTATCTTTCATATGGGAAAAGAAGACAAAAACATTCTCTGATGAACAAAACCTGAAAGAATTTACCACCACCAGACCAGCTCTCCAAGAATTCCTGAAGGGAGTGCTATACCAGAAAAAACTGAAGTCAGACACACAGAAGTAAGAATACAAGAAACAACTAAGAGAATGGCCAGCCTAATGGTAGGAACAAGTCCAAAACTGAATGTTAACTTACAGAGTTTAAATGGAAAAATTAGACCACAGTAACACTGCGAATTCAATAGAAGAGAGATTAATTACTTGAGTCTGAACTAGTGAGATAGAATTTTTTTACTTTAAAGCATTACTGATTTTTTTCGATGCTTTGATTTCCATATTTAAGGATTTTTGTCTTCTCTTGAACTGTTGATAAGTTCATCTACCTGCTGTTTGAAGTGAATCCTAACCTTTTTTCTGGCTTTAAGTTTTATGCAAATTTTTCTTAACATTTTCTTATTTTGATCTATTAAAACTAAAACTTTTTTGAAATTAAAAAATTCATTAAGAAATACATATTAATACCTATTTAATGACTGCAGTTTGCTATACATGCCTAGCAAGGTGCTACTTTATGGTATGTTCACTTTACTCACTGAGGTTTATGCCTAAAGTCAGACATGCATTCAAAAATATGTATATATCAGCTATGCTTGCTATTGAAGG